GGAAAATAGAAAAATATATAGTCGATTGTGCATACAACTAGACAAATAATAAAAATTTAAAAAGATCAAAAACGAAATAAGGACAGTTTGAAGGTACGAATAAAATGCTCAGACACAAGCGACAACCAGAAAATAAAGAAAAAAAACATTCGTAAGGACCGTTCACAAGATAAGTGACCAAAACATTATTATCTTGAGCACTGTGCAAAACTCTGGCACGTTATTCCTGGCTGCATCAGCAACGTTAACACCCACTGATCCGCATAGTGGTTATGGCCCATTGGTCTTATTCGATTCGACTCCATTCATAGGCAAAAAATAATTCTACCAAAATACTTCCCACGCAGACGAAGTTGCGGGCACAGCTAGTTAATAATATATCATTTCAACTACACAATTAACGTATAAAAATAGGTTTCTCTCCATTTCTTCATTACGGATCCCTAAGGTGGTGGGTAGAAGTATTTTTATTATAATCAAGTTATTCATTTTTTGGTCTAAAAAAATAATATAAAATCAGACTGCTTTTAATTAATATTAATAAATATTAATTAAACTAACAGCATTCCTACAAAGCGGTCATAATATATTATAGCGTAACTTTTATCCTAAATATAGCTTTACCTATCCCTTTGCTTGGTGCGTTGTGATTACAAAACGAAAATTATTTTATTTTTTATTAAATTTAATCAATCCTATTGAGATTAATTTATTTTGGTCTAATATGTCCACCCGTTAATAAATAAGCCCGTTTTATAAAATCGGTTCGTTGATATAAATTTTAGCTCTCTTTCTCATCTCTTCATTATGTACGCAGCATACGAACATAACTCCGCCAATTGAAATGCTCGCATCGCATCGCTCGACTGCTATTCTGATGTACGCATCTCTGACTTCAGTAAATTAACGTTATAATTGAATTAACAGTGTCAAACGGTGTGATATTTCAGAGAGAACAAATCAAATTATTAATCATTGAGAATGGTGTATTTTTCCTCTTCAATAACTTGTGATTAATAATGTCTAAGGATATGGACAAAAAAGCGATCTAGTAATACTGATAATACTGAAATTTAAGTAAAATGATTTAAAAAATATGTTTAAAAAGATTTAAAAAATATGAAAAAGTTGAATCGAGTGTGCGTCTTCGGAGGGAGAACAATGTGAAAGATTAAAGTTACCCTTTAGAAAGGAAGGACGATGTACGAGGTAAAAAACAAAGTGAGTTTATTACGATCTGTTATACATAATTATGTTATACCAATAAAAATGAATATACCGAGCACATATATGTCTCGAACCCTAATGTTGTAGTAATTAAAAATCAAAGATGTCATTGATTTATATATAATAATTAAAACATATTTCTATCTTTTAAGTTTAAATATTTGTAAAAATATTTCTTTCGGCTGTTCGGGTGGAGTGGATTACCAGAAATAAAGTGGATTTTTTAAGCATTTTGTAATATATTGTTAAATTATTGATGTTCTATGTCTGTTCTAGACTCTCCCAATGTATATTGTATGTAGATATTATAGGGTAGTGAGTACAGTACAAATATATAAATTAAATAATTTTTGCACAATACACGCATGATAAACCTTTTAAAAATACTTCTTTTAATAGGTTGTGCTCGTGAAAATATAAAAAAACACAATTATCGTAAAACGAAAACTACCCACTCGCAGATAAAACCACAAAATCAAATAGCAAGTTGCATAACCGCTTTTGGTAGAGGTCAGAATTTAATCTTAGTTTAAAGAAATATAACTAAAGCAGCGATGAAAGTCACTTACTCTGCAAAACCCACTTCAGTAAATTTGCCATTATTAAACTGAAACATAACATAAGAAAAATTCAAATATCGGAAGTCTACAAATGCCATATGAAAGACTCTATTTGAGGAGAGCCACGCTTCGGCATGAATGGGCCGGCTCAACCGGAGTGATACCACGGCCTCACAGAAAACCGACGTGAAGCAACGCTTGCGTTGTGTTTCGTTGTGTGAGTGAGGATACCGGAGGCCCAACCCTCCCTATTCCCTTCACTCCACCGCTCAACCCTTCCCTCCCTATGATCATATTCGTCCCTCAAAGACCGGCAGCGTGCTTGTAGCCCCTATGGTGTTGCAGGTGTCCATGGGCGACGGTAATCACTTACCATCAGGTGATCCGTCAGCTCGTCTGCCCCCTATCCCATAAAAAAAAGATAAAATCTACTACGAACCGCCGGAGGTATATCCAGTTACGTGGATCTTGTGTCGATGCACGCAGCGGTTGCCTAAAGCTAGTGAATTCCCAGCGATACCACTGCAGCCGCCGCAGTCCGCTGTCACAACCAGCTGCGCTGCGTGACCGCGTATCCAATACTCTATATTATGTCTACCACAACCAGAATTCGAGACATTAACTTTACCATATGATAGATATTTTTACTCCTTCACTACAACAGATCTTAAACTCACAGGGGTATTATCAGGCAGGCATTATTAGGGAGAGTCATTTTAGTGGCTTCACCTAATATTGATTGTCATTTTCTCGGGAAATATTATGTTTCTTCAGTTAAAACCATTATGACAATGAAATCATTACAGATTTCATTTCATTTCATAGAAATTTTAACACACAAATTTCATTGAAAATCGTTCAGTAATCTATATATTATCTTCTCATGATTTATCTCTTTAACATGATAAAAAGTTCATGTTATACTTTTTTTATAATTTGTTTATTTTATTATAATACTTTTCTACAATAATCTTGATCCATCTACGTCTAAAAACTCATAAATACAGTACTACCTACATGGATCCAAATAGTTGTGGCAATTCTGTTGTACTATTTAAATTAAAATAGAACAGTGTAGATGCTTTTTTTGTATTTTTCTTCATGATAGGATGATGTCATGGTCATAGGTAATTAAAGATATTTAATGATGCCATTGATTATTACTCGTACTAAACTTCTGTTCTGTTAGATCTGTTTTTGGTTATTTACAGAATTTAATCGCAGTTTCGCAAGAGAACAACTATTAAGTCATATATCTTATTATTTTTCTAATAAAAATGTATTCAAAAAGAACATGAAACCTTTTACAATATTTTAAAATCTTATATGAAATTTGTATAAATAGGTTTAAGATTTTTTTTAAGGATAGGATGATCCCTGAAATAAAAATGAACTAGACGCCTGATGTGTCCAGATTCACACATATCGATGACTCTAATAGGATTTTTTTAGAACGGTTGACGAACGGGTGTAATGGAGTGAATATTTGTTAGTTATGATATGTTATCATAAAAATAATAATATTAGCAAAAAATATTTAATTAAAGTGAAATAACTCCAAAAAGGTTCCGGTAACGACAGCAATAAAATATCCGCACTAAAAAAATATAAGATATCAGAGAAAAATTCGGTTCGTATCTTCATAAATATCAGAAATTTATTACAAGAATTCGACTTATAACTTTGAACACTTTTGGACAAGATATTTAAGTTGAAAAAAAAACAAATTGGTTGAAGCTACGAAATAAACACTTTGACTTCAAACTTTGGCGGTAAAATTTATTTGTTTTGCCTCAGTATGATACTTTATCGGCAACCAAGCTAAAAAGGAACGTGAGCCCAAAGCGTACTCTATAGGATTACGAAAATAAAGTATTTGTTGGAACACATTTTTGAAACCCTTAGTTGTATGATGCAATAATATAATATTTTTATAATTACCTACACATATTGAATTAGTTTAATCTATATATCCATTCTTTGGTTGGTTTTAAAAAAAATATATTAATTTAAAATGAAATCACTATAACTGCGTCCAGTATTTTTTATTTATTAAATATTTTGTTTAGTAATATCACAAACAACTTTACTAATATATTAAAAGAAACAATGTGTCTAGGGAAAACTAAGCTACTGTTTATATTTATGTGGTACTTTATTTTAGTAATTTATAAGTTTTTTCGTGTAAATAACATCGTTCATCCATATATAGATTTACGATTCCTTCACTAAAAAAGTAGTGTTCATATTCTTAGCACAAGAAATAAAAATAAACTTGCCGTTCCAAGCTTCAGACTTCAGCAAACCAGAGGATCATTTGTGGGTAAATGCATTGCTATGCATATCGCTTGTTCTTTTTGTCAGCTAAAAGACGTCCTGAACAAGCGGTAGGGGAAAATTTTTTTTTGGACGATTTAAAGGTGCTTGTAATAAGCCTACTTGAATAAAGATATTTTCATTTCATCAGATATTGATTCAAATATTAAACTTTACAGAAAATTAGGTCGCTTCTTTCTTTCGTTAAAAAAAAATTCGATGCTCTAAACATCTGCGTGTAATATCTAATCATATTCGGGAGAGATATGAAGTTAAAAATAAGAATCAAATGTTTGGTTAGTTATTACCTTGTGAAATTTGGTATCTAATTATACGAATGTCTTGACCGAAGAAGATTAGATTGCCAATTATACCCAAATCTTTCGAAACCTTTTTTCTTTTACTCTAAATAGTGACAAGTGAAAGGCCCCGCCTGCGCAGGAGTGTGAATATGAATATGGTGAGGACGACAGCATCTCGTGTACTACTGCAGGTAAACCCTAATCATCTTCATTGAAGACATCTGTATAATTAGATATCAAACTATGCAAGGTAAGTTCGTTTGATTCTTAATTATAAAGTAATAAATTGAATTAAAATTATTTAAAACTTTTAATAAATTAACAAGACAAAAGTAATGCAGTATTTTTAATCCTGTTCTATACAAAATTTATTATGAGTAATATTAATGTAAATAATAGTAAATAGTATAATCACAAGCTGGATTATACTATTAATATAGCATACACCCTTTCTCTTTCTAAGCGACTACCTTAATCATAAAAGTAAACACTAATTCTTACTTTTACAGTAAAAAATCTTCAATCGATGCAGACAATTCCACGTTTTCAATCAGCGAGCACTTAATAATAAATAAAAAAAAAAAACACCACTTACTTTTTCGTGTAATTGCATTTCACCGCCACCACGATCAGAACAATGTTCGCCACCAATGAAAATAAAATCACCGGCACATACAACGTGATCAACACACTTTCCGGCTGAAATAATATGTCGATTTCGGAGCCGAACTGAAACGAGCTATTGAACGCCACACTCAAGTTCAACCCCGCTAACGGGTCGAAATCATTCACTGTCACATTCGGAAACATTTTCAACGTTCGCCTTCTAATCTCGGAGAAGTAGCTGCATTATTCACTCTAGAACTAACGCTCGAAAGTAGGGAAAACGTTAATCTGTCATCAATAATTTCCATTTCACTAGTTGCCGACAAAAGCCAATCGGAAACTTGATTTCTTTAACGCCACTTATTCTTTTAAAAAGTTATACATTAATCAATTCTTTAAATCACATTCAAACTTCTTTATTGTTCCATGATTTTTAAATGTTCATAAAAGGAACACTTTATTTAAAAACAGAATCTTAATATTTTACGAAAATGTTGAACAAGAGATTGCGCGCGAAATTTGTCGAGCTTTCAGATACACGTCTGACGTCATGCGCGTGCTGAAAATGACTGAATGGCTTGCAAGCAAACCCAGTAAGTTGTAAATCTCTTCTCAATGGGAAGACTTTTCAGTATTAAAAGATCACACGAGTTGCTGGGATTGTTTGCTTACTATAATAAATTGATATGTAACATATTAATGTTTGATTAATGGTAGCCGTCTGTAAAATATTCCATTGTTGAAACATATTTTAACACTTCGGCATTTATTTATAAGTTGTTACTATATGTGTTACTTTAAATATGTTGAACGCAAAGATATATTGATGTAATAATAAGCAATATGGAAGAACAGAAAAGAGTTATATTATAAAAGAGTTACACCATTAACGTTATGAAAGTAAACATGCTTTTTAATTATTTATCTGTAATCTAAAATAATTTTATAAAAATTGTTTTCCTTGTATTGAATACGCTCCGAAATAACTGGACCAATATTTAATTTTTTTTTTACTTAGGTAAAGTTGCGTCACATAAGTTTTAACGAGTACGAAGTACGAACGTCGTGTTTTCGGCTTAATACTTTAAATTTAATTAAAAGGAATCGGATTTTAACATTACATTCTTTCTTTGTGTTTTATAAATAAAAACAATAATACTGAAAAGTATCAAAATTAAAGCGTTACGCAGAATTATTGATTAAAAAAAAACCCGCTAAAACAACCTACTGATGCTGACAGAAGGTATAAATTTTATGCAACCTATTTATAACATGCATTCGGAGGCATACACAAAGAGAGATTGATTTGACTACTTATACAATTGCATGCCTCCGACTGCATATTAAGTATGATGTTACATAAAATTTGTATCTTGTTCCAGCCTTTTCAGTTAGTTGTTTTTCACGCAGGCGAGTTTTTTGTTTTTTTTTTATTTTATTACAATTTCATTTACCTTTTTTTTTTAATTAGACAAATTACCGGGTTGGTTTAGAAAGTGTGAAAGAACAAAGTGTAAATTTTTAAACTTTCTCATTGCATTATTTATATTACTAATACACCTAGTATTGAGCCTTATAATACCCATATTTAATTATTTAATACAAAAAAAAAACATTAAGTGCAATGGCGTCATACAGCCGCCATATTAGTTTTTTTTTTGTTTATCGTCACCTATCTAAAAACACTTGGGTTGCTAAGATAAATCTAACAATACCTCAATCATGTAAATCCATTCAGTTGTTCTGAAGATATGAAGTAATAAAAAATATTACATCCATACATACAAGATACGCGTTTAACAACATAACCGTTCCTTTGCTGTCGGATAAAAATACATTAAACAAAATGCACAAATTTTTTCTGGTTTATGTTATGTCCGAACCGCCTCCAGGCTGTGGTTATAATTTTTTGTTCCACTAAGCCGATCTAGATTAGTGAAAGGGACAACTGTCCTTTTTCAGGGTATGTATGTATCGTGCTGATACTAATCACACAGAGAGGGAACGTAAGTATATATTCAGACGTCTTTGAGTTAATACCACAGTAAAGACTGTGTTCACATGACCGTACGAAGTATTTCTATATTCCGAGTCAAATACTACAAAAGAATACAGAGAGAGTAACTCCTATAGTATATTAATTGTAACGTCAATTATTATTATTATTTTTTTTTAGTTTTGTTGGGTAAAATTATTTTATGAAGGAGGTTGGACTGAAACATCAATAACTTTCAATCAATTTTGTACATATAAGTAACTTCTAAATAAACTTTACTTGAACATGATATGTAAGGGTATTTGTTGACAAAATACGAATTCATAAAATTTTATGATATATTAGATAAATAGGTTTTAAGTATCTACATCAGCGATTTCCTAAGTGGACCAGATGGACCCCCAGGGGTACACGAGGGATTCAACGGGGTCTACGTACTCACCCGCGACGCCAATTACTATTGTTATATGTTCACATTTTGGACGAATTTTGAAAAATGTAGCAGCAGGGGTTCACCGAAACCAGTATTTTTTAAAGTGGTCTACGAGAAAAAATTGTTTGGGAACCTCTGATCTATATTGTGATTTGTGTACACAGCCCCTAATAAGGTGACGTCAATACGTTTGCCAGATAAAAACGTGAGAGTGCTAATAAAGCGGATTTTATTTGTGGTATATCTTGATTATCTCTTTAGGTCTAGTAAATTTATTTTTGTATTTATTTTCAATAATGAAGCTTTGGTGTTCTCGAGATTAACTATAATCGTTCTTTACGTATATTAAATGTGGTTTATTTTACGATCTCCGCGGTCGAGTGCACGTGGAAAATGAACGTTTCTAAATTGCCTCGGGTTTGGCTGTTGTGGTACCTTCATCGTTTCACATTCTCCTAATACATGTACTTTTACTTCTGAATTTGAGACCTGTCTATACTAGATTTGATTGTTTGTTTGTTCGCTTTTTAATTAAATTTTTGAAGCATCGTTATATCAGTAAAACATGTGACATTGAATCATGTTGGTGCTTACATTACTTATATACAAATTTGTGACACACGAAAAATATAATAATAATTTAAGAAAATTCAAATGTCATTACTGGTTTTGTGTTCCAGTATCATAAACTCATAAAATCTATTTTCAAAAAATATTAATATCACAAGTGTAATTTAAAAATCAAATCCCACAATAATCTGTCAAATCAAAAACCTTATAAATTATCATTTGGATGTGAATCGAGATTTAAGAATATTTCTATTTTGAACTTTATATTTATTTCAATAAGTAAGCATCCATTATAATGAAAGCTTTTTGCGTCTGGTGCTTATTAATTTAGATCTGGGGTATATAACTGCCACTGGGAGCTATTATGTGAAACTGTCATACTTATAAAGATTGATAACAGAAAATGTCTCGGAGCTCATTACACTGATAATGTGCGAGTGGATAATTGTGATAGTACTAGGGTAATATCATCAAATAAAGCCTTTTTTATAATACATTTTAAGTTTAAAGATGAACAACTTTTTAAAATACGTCTTCTCATCTCGGTCAGAATTTATTTGTCCTGTATTGAAGATATGCCTCCTCCAACTCATTCCAGAGAGGTTTATAGGTTGTCTCACGCATAAAAAAAATTGTAGGCAACTTGAACAATATTGTCAGACCATCTTTTCTTCTTTCTTCTGTCTTGCTTCCTGCTGGATGTTTATTCGTCATAAGTCATACTTATCTGTTTATTAAATTTTATTCAAAAATTAACTAAAATAATTTAGAAACAAAATTAAGATATAAATAAATAAGATGTTTGAACAGCAGTTTGTACCTTATACGTGGTCCTTAATTAGGTCCGCTTTACAAAAGCAACTCATAATTAAGATTTTCTACATCGAACTTGATACCCATATTCTAAATTACTATGTTGGTGAAGTGAACCAGGTCCCAAATGTCTTAAATCGAAATTGGGTCATTTATAAGGTAGTAAGTTGTAATCACTTCGCATCTTAAATTTTTTTTTCGCCGTAATTTCAAGCACACCTGTGCCATTAGATAGTCACTGGAGAATTTTAAATATTTACACACTTTGGTGGCAGTTTGTATTCATGGACAAATAATATAAAAGAGTAATCTTCTCGGAACCGAGTTTTATTTCAGTGTTTAGATTGACCTTACAATGTGCTCATTATGAAGTATTTTTTTAGTGAAAATTTGCAAAATACAATTGTTTTAATTAACAATAAACTGCCAAGCTACGGACGATTATAATACAATTATAAAGTTTTACAATAATTATAATTAGATTCACGATTCAAAGTTTCCGTCACGGTGAATGTTCATTGCCTCACTTTTATTCAATATTTTCCCAATGAACTGTCATTTTGTTTTCTTTTAAAAAATATGGATTTCTTAACTTTTCATTTAATAAAAGTATTATAATTTTTCTATAGCTTGTTTTCTATATCGATAATGTGTAGTATGCAATCATGAATATACTTTAGATGTCATAATAAGCCGAAAAACTTTACGGTAAATTAAATAACCAATAGACTCCAGTTGCATAAACGTCTAATTAAACCGTCATTAGTTTACAGCGACTGTACGGATATAAATCAAATTCAGAAAATTTATTAAAGCTTAAAGTCGCTATTAAACTCTAATAAGCGTAATTAGAAACAAAAAAATCTATTTTTCATTTACAAAAATAGATAACACGCTATACGTAATTACGTGACAACACATAATATCATGTCGGCATGATGTCATTATAATATGACGCCATTAAATCTCAAATGGGTGATGTATAGGTAAATTTCTATTTCTAGATCATTATTCCCCTGACGATAGAGTGTTTTTATTATAATTTCAAATCTGTACTTTTAAATATACTAACGGGAGTGTTATTAACGATCAGTCATTAGCCTGTGAACCCGTTTTACGGCACGTAATAAAAAATCACACCCTCGGAGTGATGGCCTTTACAAATCTGTGTCGACACACCTTCCTCAAAAAAATATAAGCATTATTTTTCACTGGATAGTAGAATACATTGTTAGTAAAAACAAAATATGTCCTTTAAATAAATATTTAGTAAGTTGAGTTGGATTTGACGTAAAGAGATTGGGTTTAGTGAAAAATGGACATTGTTATGAAAAATCTGAAAGCGGCGTCTGAAGAGTTGACACTTTAACATAAAGAATACTTCATTAGAATGTTATAATAGTTTATCGCGGGATTGCTACCATGTACCCTGTTTTTGTTGAGTTCTTGATATTTCAGCACTGTTTCTGTTGTCTTGTTGTTGTTGTGATCATGGCGCTTGCATTAATTTTTTCAGCTATAGATATTGGATTGACATAAGGAGCTGATTTTGAAAGGTTTGATGAATAGGTATAATACAAAGCAGGTTTTTGCAGGTTAAATTTGGTATATAAAACTTTTTTTCAAAATTTGCTACAAATCAAATAAATATAAAACAAAAAATTAAAATATTTCGGAAACAGTTGTTTTGAAGTATTATCGTAATGAAACTAGCCTTAACACTATTTGATTAACTTGATTATTTATTAATTTTATAATT